AGTTGTGAACGTCAAATATACGTATTTCGGTCGCTAAAATATATATTAAAGGTAAAGTTACAGTAAGTACGTGATTTATATTAAAAACTATATGTTGCAGAAGTATAAAAATGCGAAATATTAATCAATTGTTTTTTAATTTATGAACTAACCAACTTTTTATTGATATTTGTTACTTCCTTCGTTTTTTATTATAATTTTGTTTAACGAAGTGTGATTCATTGCTCATCAAGAAAATATGCGGGGTATTTAAGGGCAGAGCTTTCAGAACAGGACATAGAAGTGTACAGCATTGGAAATAATTCCAATCAATATCTTGTTAAATCTGGAGATTTGAGGTAAACCGGGATGTTTGGTTATTTTCATAATGAAGTTGTTTGGAATGTTTTTCTTTTTCTAGTGGTATGTAATGTTTTGTACTTGTAACAGTCTGAAGATGCTTAGCTAAGTATTGGTCATGTTGTGGATTTATTGAGATGTGCAGAAGTGCCGATGATTTTGAGGGTCAATATAATTGATGCATTCCTCTGCTGGAAAAAATGATTCTGCACAAAATATTTGTTCGCAATGTTTTTCCTACCGCTACCTGAAGAGTCATTGAACGACGAGGACGTGTTTGAGTTGCATTTATTCAATTTTGGAAGACATATTATACTATATAAGAAGCCATAATACTGGTAGTCATTGTCATTCTAAAGCGATTTCATACGTTTTCTTTCTGTCTTAACACTTCTGTGATATTTATGAAATATTTTTTAAAACACGATTATCTTGCAGTTTTATTATATTACATACACACCTTTAAGTCTGACTTTCACAATTTGACCTCTTGAAAGCATTCTGAGATTATCCTACTTACATTATTCACAAGAAGATCTTTGTATTTCAGGGATAGAGCTTCAGACATAAAAAATAACTCGTTATTAAAATCCCATTCAACGTTCCGGGTAATCTCTTTGCGTCATCACTGCCACCCAAAGAGGCACGCACTCGTTCCGGCTTATTGACACGCACGGTTGTGACAGGTACTCACTAACGTATTGCAAAATACAGAGATTTCATCAAGATGCACCCTCGAAATATTAATAATTTTAAAATAGTACTACAATACCTGGCAATTTCGAGTTCGGATGCTTTAATGATAATAGAGTGTTAACTATGTAATTTGTTAAGTACGTGTGCTGCACGGACGATAGTGTTTTTACCCTGATGGATTACGAGATTCTGCTTCGACCTACACGTCTTTTTGTGGAGTTTTTCCTTCCAAATTTCTTTTCCAGTTCGACATCGCACTTGCCAGGACAAGTTCTAAGCACCTGCCTGGATTCGAAACAAGTGTAGGGCATGTGAATATAAGAGTGTGTAAGTAAGGGGGGAGGGTAGATCAAGGAAGAGGAGGAAACAGATCGCGTTGTACAAGAGTTTTGGCATAATGTTTCGGAATTCTCCTGCATTGGTCGGAGAACTATTGATTAGAGGTGCCGGTTTCAACATTCCTTCTCAACAGTGGTTGAATTTGTCTTACTTACCTAACTTGCTAGTATCAAACATCCGCCGCCATCGGTACTCGAACTCTGGAATCATCCTTTCAGCGACGTTGCACAGGCAACCGCTGAGCCATCGCAGAAGGTAATTTGGGCGGCGGCGCCGGGGGAACAAGAAAACCGTGTTTCCGTCGCTTTGTTCCTCCGCAGGTGCGCAGCGCCTTCGGTTTCCGCATTACTCACTGCGGAACAGAAAACACTCCCCCGCCCCCGCCACCTGCCCAGGCGGGGCCGCGCGCTGCGGCCGTTCTCTTGTCACGCCTATTTAGGAGGCAGTTAGTTGTTGCCAACTTCTGAAAGCTGCGCGGCTCCCGGCGCGTGTCCGGCAGAGGGCTGATTGTGGCTCCGCTACCTTCACTGGGAGGCTGCGCTGCCCGCTGGACCCCCGTGCTTCAGGCGGGGAGCGGGAAGCGGGAAGCGGGGTAGCGGGAAGCGGCGTTGCCGAAACTGTTGTGCGAGAGGAAGCGGTTCTGAAGAAAAAAAATGTGGTGGTTAATTCCCTTGCAAATGTTGTTGGAAAATACAATTTGATTTTATTGCATTTCACTGCGTTTTTATGTCTTTCACAGGTTTCAATTTTCCTATATAAAAAATTTGTAGTTATTGAAATGTGGATGAAAAGATAGGCTAATATTATTTTGTGATAAAATTGTTTCAATCCTTTTAATTCAACATATAGACTTCATTTTGTTTTTACAATCATATCTCGACTGTATTGAAGTATGAGCACTTCGTTGAGAAATTGTACTTTCGTTATTGCTAATTCGCTGCTAGTTCAATTTGTAATAGATAAACAAAATGTGCTAATCTACAATTTGTTTGATCTTTTGTGATGCATGAAATATTTCCAATAATTTAAAGGAGAAATATTGAATTTATTTAGTCATTGTAATTCCGTATTTTTGTCAATTTTCAATATTCTTACAGCAGGAATATTTTAGTCATTTAACGTGTATTCATGAATACACGTGAATATACTGACTGTTTATTAGAAAAGATTAGACTGTTCGATCCCTACCAAACGCATTTAAAAAAATACTATTTCTCATATTGTCTTTTGTAATAAAGTTACTGCTTGTGATATATTGTAATGTTCGAACAAAAAAAAGAAGTATTCTCTATTTGAAAAATAATTCTTTTAGGTGCTAGCAATTTCAAGAAGAACGCATATTACTTTTTCGTTTATTTTTTCACAATATTCTTACTTCTCTTCGTAGTTTTGTAGGGTTCTTGATAGTGATTTTTGCCACAAAATATATCCACATTTTTATTTAAAACCATAAGATGAATTATTTTTTCACAAAAATTATTTAAGTTCTAACATACGAGTACTAATAAGAGAAATTTCATGTAAACGTAATTTTCAGTAGCTTTAACCGCAATAACACGAATCCAACAAACTTTTTATTTTTTATTTTTGTTTTTATCTATTTAATGTCAAAATACAATTAAAAACTCTAAGACATAATTATTTTATATTTAAGCTTCCAAATTTACAATTGCACACAGATAAAACAGGATTTATTTAGTGGCCGAAAAACAGTAAGTGGAACATAAAATCACGAATATCATTGCCTCGCGTAAATTATCTTCATAGACGTCAGGACATCCCAAACAGTAGCATGAACGGTGCAATATATCTCTTTCCGCACTATAGGCGAGGCCTGAGCTGGACGGGGCGTTTCCTACTTGTTGTTATATATTCTATTTTACAAGTGTGAACTTGGATGTAACACATTCTTATAAATTATGTTTAGAATGGACTTTATGTTTAGAAAAGCAAACAATTCATAACCCTAATTCCTTGACATCTCTATTAATCCCTCATATTCCTTCCCTGTAATCTTAATGTTCAGTAGCTTTATCCTCGATACCACGAAAGTCTCGATTGAAAAAACTTTTCTTTTTTTATTTTCTGTGGAGCCTGAAGTGAAACATATGACGAAAATCTTTCACGCGTGTACACCTGTACTTGATCTTCGTAGTCACCAGGACATCGCGAACAGTATGGTGTGCAATGATACAATGTATCACTTGGCAACTCTGTAGGCGGGGTCTGGGCTGGTCAGTACTTTTCTATTTATTCTTTACGGTGTTTTAGAAGTGTTAACTTCAATGAAACGCATTATTATAAATTAGGCATAAAATGATAATGCAGTGAGCTTTAAAGACTCGCAACTCATGGCTCCAAATCCTTGATACCTATATTAATCCTTCATAACCCTTCTCTTTAATTATAATGTTGAGTAGCTCTATCCTTGATAACACGAAACTTTCGATTAAACAATCTTTTCCTTTCTTTTTTTTCTGTTGAGCCTGAAGTAGAACGTGAAATCACGAAAATCTCTTACAAGTGTACTTGATCTTCGCAGCCACCAGGACATCCCAAACAGTAGCATGAACGGTGCAATATATCACTTGGCAACGCTGTAGGCGTGGTCTGTGTTGGAGGATGGGTGAGGGGCGGGGTCCGGAGCGGTTTTCGTGTCGGACGCGCCGCGCCGCGCCGCGTGGTTGCGAGGCGGAGCGGAGCGGTGCGGTGCCGGCGCCGCCAAGACAGCGCCCATCGGGGAGTAATGCGTCAGAGGCGCGAGTCCGGAGCGCGCAATCAATCCAAATTACGGCGCAGCCGCCGCCGCCGCCGCCGCCGCCGCCGCCGCCGGGAACACCAGCGACGGCTGCTCTATGCCGTCCGACGCTCTCTGCAGGCGGTGGCGCTTTTCCTCAACCCCGTTGCTGCTGCGGACCCTGTTCGTTGTGCACGAGTGACTCGAACGCTCTGGTAATGGTGTTTGATCACTCTGCAATCTTCACCGCCATTGTTCCGGCTTAGGTGGCTCAAGGAATCAATTGATGTCACTGCGGTGCCTCTGACCGGGTAATCCTTGGATTCGTGTGTCGAAGGTGGTAGGAGTTTCGACGCTAGCTTGTAAGCTCTGTCGAATTCAGCCGCTCTCTGGAGAATTCTAGCGTCCACTTCTTTGATTGGTAGTTTTCCGTGAGGTAGGGACTGCGCGCTTTCATTCCTTCCTCTGCCTCGTCCTTTCTCACTCATCACTTATGCAATCTTACACTTACTACACTGCCACCCATGTTTGGAAATCAGTGGAGAGCTTAGAGTTCGTCCAGGCTGGAGCAGTGTCATGCTGGTGGGAGTAGTAGTAGTTTGTCGCCGGCTCGCGCCATCCAGCAGGTGATCACCACGAGCTTTCGAAGAAAAAGATGAACTACTCATACGCGACTAATGAACTTAGCAATACAGGTGAACAGAATCCCAAATCAATTAATCAAACGCCAGTGTCACTGAATATAATCCATTGCCGCTGCTTTTCATATTTCTCATCCACTGTTCCTGCACCACTTATGATATATACACCGCAATGTTCAGTTGACTGAATTAAGTTGTAAATGGAGATTTTTTGTAAATATTTCATTCGTTTTTTTATCACGTTGCAGGCAGAATGTACAGAAGTAGTGCTGATTTTCAACTTCTTCCTTCCTCCGTTCCAGCTGCTTCAGTCTACCTGATCCGCAGTGCACAACATACGAATATTATTCTGGTAAGACATGTTTTTAAAACTATATTATATACTTATTTTCACTTTGAAATTTTCTCTGCTCCTGGCACCTAGTGTCATTCAAGCTGATGTTCACCTTTCACCTTTCATTGTCTCTTCACCACTGCTTTTGTCCATCTGACTTGCAATGCACAATGTGCGTCATGCACAATGGTAATATAGCCTGGAGGGTCTCAGTTATTGGAGATGTTTTCAAAATTGAGTGTTTCAATAGCTGATTATGCTTTTCTGGTATTTTTTAGTAGTGAAAACAATCAAAATTTGTTACTTGTTATTCATACTTTAATTTCCTCCACCTTCTACCGTCTGTAGAATTCTTCTGCTATTTACCGCATTTTTTATTCTTCCCGAGTCGATGCAAACAACGTTCTACATTAGAAATGTTTCCCAAATTGACTTAAGATTTTTTAACGTAAAATGTATTTTCTTTTAATAGAGGTGTATCAGTTGGTAGAACAATAAGATGTATCATAATAAAATCATGTATGTAACAAAACTATTTACTAGGCGGTCCGGGTGACGCCGCGTCCATGGCGAAGGTGCCGAAGTTTCGGTCGCCATTCTGCGACCTTCCTCAGGGCGTAATGCTTGCATGCTGTCTTAGTGCATCTGATTGGATCACACTCGATACGATTTCGACGGAAGCCACGGAAAGTGTACTTGATAAATCTAGATGTAATGAAATTCGCAATTTCCCTCACCCGAACAGCCTAGTAAATACTGACTCCGGCCGCGGAAGCCTACACTCTCACGTAACAAAACTATGTAAAAAGCACTACCGTCTCTGGGGAGTTTGCAATCATACTATCCGGCGCACCATACTTTGGTATGCTCGAGTAAAGGAAAGAAGTCATTTCTCGGCTCTACTAGGGTCGCTTGAGTCGATAGCGTCATTGTCACTTCGAAATGACTTAATTGGAGCTAGTTATAGTCTCACCAAAACATATTTGGACAGCACTATCGCGAGACGTACTCTGATATCGTGCGTAGAGGTAATGGGTGTGCGATTGCGCCATTGCGGTACGCATGAGGCAATCGGAGCTATATTTAGCTTCATGCAAGGAGTTTACATATGCGTAGCTGGGCTTAACCAATATCGTTTGTCGAAGCACGTGAGAGTGGTGACGTACCAGCCTGTTTACAGAATTTCTGCAAACCCGACAAGAAATGATATAAATGACAACAATACCTTTGATAATTGTGATGCACGATATGTTGCATGTTAGCTTACGTTGGCCTAGTTACTTCATATTGATGGCAATCATCGTTTTTAACATTTCTCATTTTGATGCTGAAATTTACCACTTATCAATCTATCTACTTTCATCTAATCTATGTCGTCCATCTTCTACGTTCTTGACAACGACGATAAGATCGAGAATATTTCAGCTGAATTTCTGTTAAAATCGCGACAAGTCTTCATATTGCTAGACAAAGATTGGTTGCAAGCTCAAGGCTTGCGTTTTTATTTCAGTCCGATGATTTTTCTGAAACCAATTCACATACCCCCAGTAAATGAAAATAGTGGAAGATGTTTACTCAGAGATTGAAATAATTTAATTTCATTGAATTATTCAGCCACAAAGTAAAGATGTTTTATACTTCGTGTAAGCGCTAGTGATTTCGTGACGTTTGCTGTTCTTTGCCAATAACTACGTCTGGCATGTATAGTTCTTACACTCTAGCAACAGCCTTCTATTCAGGTGATCATACAATTCATCATTTACTCATTATACTATAATAATTAAGCATTACGCTTTTACATTTCAACTTAGCAGCAATCTCTTTAAAAAATATTATTTCACAATCTCATTTTTTTCTTTGCTATCCCTTATTTCTTTTGCACAAATAAAACGTGATTTAACACCATTCCTCCCAGCACCAAGGAAGCAAATATTGAGAACATCCCCTACTAATAAGTGCCTCAATTCCTGAGCACAAATATAGATTTCTGGCCACTCATGTAAGAAAGTTTCACCTTAACTGCATGAAGAAACAATTCCCTCATCACTAATTACAGTCACTATTTTGGAGAGCCAATAAGAACAAGAAGACTCAATTAACGTAACTACAGTGAATAGTCAAACCGACGAGGACCGAAATGTTGATCCAATATTCTCGTCGCAGCCCATTTCTCCACTCCGTGGCTGACTGTTCCTCGCTGCCGCCGATTCAGGCAGCACCGGCGCCCAGCGCGCCACCGCGTCGCCGCCGCAGCCAGCGCTCGCCTCGCCTCGCCTCGCCGCCGGGCGTGATGAATGCGTGGGGGCGGTAATCCCGACGCGAAGCGTTCTGTGTTCGACTCCCCGCAACAGGCCGCCGCCGCCACCACCACCGCCATCGCCACCGCAGCCGCCTCTGCCGCTGATCTCATTGACACCGACTTCGTCAACGCAATTCAATCGTTCCAGCTTCCTCCGCCGCCATCAACCCTCCACCGCAACCCCCACCTTCACCAACAACGTCAATACCTTCTTCACGTGGATTACCACCTTTACATTTACCACGACCTCTAAACACAACATTGATCATCCACCTCCATCACCAACTCCACTTACAATACCACATTCACGTCCACCAGCATTACCTCGACCCTCACCACAACACTGAACCTCATCTTCACGTTCATCTCCTCATTCACCTCCGCCACCAACTCGGCCTCCAACACCAATTTGAGCAGCACCTCCTTCTCCGCTGCCACCTCCCTCGCTATCACCAGCTCCAATTCTATTAGCATATTTATTTAACCACCACCTCCTTCTCTACATTCATTCACCGCTTTCAGATCCAACACCTCCTGGAACGCCACCTCCGCCGCCACCTTCATCACCACCAACCCCTCCTCCTACCTACCGAACTCGACCACTTCTTCCTCTTCCTCCTCTTCCTCCTCCTCCTTCTCCTCTTTCTCCTCCTCTTTCTCTTCCTCCTCCACATCCTCCTTCTTCTCCTCCTTTTCCTTCTCCTCCTTTTGCTTCTCCTACTCTTTCTTTTCCTCCTCCTTCTCCTCCTCCTCCTCCTTCTCCTTCTCCTCTTCCCCTCTTTCTCCTCCTCCTCCACATCCTTCTTCTTCTCCTACTTTTCCTTCTCCTCCTTTTGCTTCTCCTACTCTTTCTTTTCCTCCTCCTCTCCTCCTCCTCCTCCTCCTCCACATACTCCTCCTCTTCCTCTGTCTCCCCCTCCTCTTTCTCCTCCTTCTCCTTCTTTTTCCCATCTTTCTCCTCGTTCTGCTCCTCTTCCTCCTCCACCTGTCCCTCAACCACCATCACCACCACCACTATTACCACCACCACCACCGCCACCATTATCACCACTACCGCCGCCGCCACCACCGGTACCACCACCACCACCACCACCATCACCTCCAGCTCCAGCTCCACCTCCTCCTCTTTCACAATCCCTACGTTTGGTGCAACCTCCGGCATAGCCACCGCCGCCGCGGCAGCAGTCGCCTGCCCCGGCCGCAGCGCCGACACGCACGTTCGCCGGTCGCGCGCGGCTGCGGCCGCGGTAATGACGGGCAAGCGCCCGGGGCGGCGCGGGATGCGAATGCCGGACCCCGGCCAGCGACGGGCTCCCGGCCGGATGCAAATGCCCCACACCCGACTCCACCGCGACCTGACCTGCTGGCTCGCGCCTCGGGCTAATGTTTAATTGTCTCGCGTGTATAAAATACGAGGGCGCACATTAGTATGCCATCCGCGGGTGCTGCTGCGAGCTGCAATCGCTTCATTGTCATGGACTTGCGAATCACCGAGTCCGGCTACCAGCAGTCTCCTATCGCTTATTCAGTCTTGTCCTGTTTACGTAAGATGCATAATAGGACAATCGTTATTGTGGACCAATTGGAATTTCAGCCATCAGTTTTTAAAATATGCAAATATGATGTATTAAACAATTGAAAGGGAAATGGACCCGAGTACTCCTACCAGAATTGCGACCTATTTTAACCGATGCGACGTTTGTGGGTATCCCAAGAGAAAAATGATTTTTTTCACAAAAACATATTAAACAAATAATTAAAAATTGGTCAGGCAAAACACGAAATATTATTTGACATGAACCAGTTACTGTATCGTCTGACCGACGTTGTCTTTCCGAATCACTCTTCTTCAATTATATTAAATTGTATGATTAACACATGTCAGAATAATACGTATAACTGAGAGAAGGTACGTAATAATATGGTTAAATTACAATTTATTTTGATAAAGGAACAATAAAAACTACACAGAGTATAGAATGGAATACAATGACTTTCAGTGGTCACAAAGCGTGTGTAAATTACTTTACTTCTCTGTTCATTTCACAGCTCTGTAAAAGCGTGCATAATGAACAAAGTAGCTCAATTATCTCTGTAAAAGCAACTTCTTCAATTACAATAACAACTGTAGCGAATAATAAATGCGATAATTAACCCAGATACACAGTGCCCGAAATAACACCCAGGTGGTTACCAACACTTGACGGGACGCTCCGCAACGCAACGTTGACTGCCTCTGGCAAATGGAACATACTGGGAAACGAAAGGATAAGAATAATTAGACTGCGTTGCCGACCGAGCTCAATTACCCACTGAATTGAGATTTCGGAACATATCTGGGTGTACCCAACACTCCATTATCTTAGAATAAATTACACATGAATATGATTCAAGGAGTTTAAATAGAAGATGGAAATATACATGAAGAGATTTGAGGTTATGAACATTGTTAACAAGGTAACATCGACAGTTTCTCCCATCTCATCTTTCTAATAATATCCAAAACTTTAATTTCTTGTATGTAAAAGTTTTATCGTGGACGTCGACACAACACTATTACAATATCATTTTTAAATTTTGTGAACTCATTTTTTACTAATCACATCAATATCAACCACACCCACAAAATCCTCTACAACCGAAACTCCGCATCGCCTTATTTGTGTGCACTCCGAAAGAGAATAAAATGATTTTGTTTAGACATACACTAAAGCACGGGTTCTTCAGAGCATTTTTTATAGAGTGCTAAAATTTCAAGTTTTATCACTAGTGAAATATAAACGCACATGTGGTCAGATAAATATCTGAATGTAACGAATAAAATTATATACTTTCGTGTGAAATCAGCTACTGCTGACCTTAATGTATTATTAAGTGTTTCGTATTCTTCAATGAAAATAAAATTCGTATGAGAAAGTGTGTCTAAAAAACAGTTTGGCACACTTGGTAAAAGTTATTTTGCTGGTAGGATAATCTCTACTCGCAAAATAAAATGTCACTTTTACCCCTCATATCGTAAATAGCTATTGCGACAATTCTGACTTGTGAGCGACCCGTGGTGGGGTGGTTTGGCCACTCGCCTACCGACTCTGAAATATAATAAAATAAATCACTGCGACAATGCATTAACCGTTCTGCAGCGCATAGATAATTCACGTGCGATATGATTGGTTCAAGTCCGGGTTTTTATAATTTTGATTATTAGTTCGTTGTAGAACACATTAAACTTCTGAAGTAGCAAATTAGCAGTCTTACATATGTGAGTATTGAATACATAGCGAAGTGAAGAAGGCACGGAATGGCCGCGAGGTGGCAAGGCATAGCGGGGTAAAATGCCTTGGCTGTAACTTGAACATTAAAGTACACTAAGCCATTGCACTAACTTACTGAACAATCTTGTGCACGAGTACACTGCGTACATTGCGATGTGAATTATTGTAAAAATGAGTGCGAGCTTGTGCTGCGCTGGAGCGTCCACGATAGGAGTGTCTCTCGAATTGACGAGAGGAGAGTGGCGGAGGAGGCCACTGACTTCGTGCGCTTCTCAGTTTCTAGTCAATGGAAAAGGTTGTTATAATACATTATAACTTAAGAACTACGGTTATTGTTATTAACTAATGAAATGAATGGTGGCATTGGTGGGTTGTGTGGCATTTTAAACTATAGAAACTATAATGCTAGTTTTAGGTTTAAAGTATTGAAGTAACAGTATTTGCGTAATGTGGCGCAAATATTGCTTGTGCTGCCACGTGCAAGAAGCCGTTATTCTGGGAACGTGGGGCGTGGATGCAATTTTAAGAACCATGGTTCTTGTGGGAGTGTGTTTGCAAAATGCAGTTGTGAAACTCTTTAGAGAAAGGATTTGTACTGAAACCTGACTGCATTGATGTGCGTGTCAAAATAAATATAATTAATTTTATGAGTACCTTGTGTGCCCGAACAAATATCATTACCTAATTTCCATCCATCAAAACTATTTATCCCAGGTTTTCTGCAAGAGGCTAGATTCTTGGAACCATAATATAGGAACCATAATGATTTATTGAAACCAAAATGCAAACATATAGATAGGAAATATATTACTAATTTTGTATCTCTCACCATACGGGCCATCTTGTTTGTTTTATAAGTTCAGGTTTATTGCCATGAATTATTAAATTTAGAATGTACGTGAAAGTGTATTTTTATTAACAGTTTTAAACTACAAAGCTTATTCATGAAAATACCGTATAGAATATTAATAATCGCATGTATCTCGCATTTACCTTAAAATTGTTTTGTAGTTATAATGTTCAAAATCAAGTAATTGTAGAAAATAGGAGTTGAAATTACAGTAGATGAAATGTAA